ATTACTGCATTCTTAGTAAATGTTCAAGGTTATTTCTCAATGACAATGTACCTTTCCCCTTGACAACCCAACAGATGAGTTCCTGTCCCCATGTAACAAATTTTGATACCCAAGAAAGCATCCCTCAAAATAACCCAGGCATACTTGTATTCTTGGCAAAAGTTCTAATTTATATTACTTCTAAAGCCAGAACTCGATTCAAAGTAGTATGCCAAACTGAAACATTGCTTCGGATAACATATAACGGTGTTAAACAATTTTTGTTTCTGATGTTACCATTCCAGAGACTTCAGTATAACTGACAAAGTATAGGCTATGTGAAATGTAAGTAAAAATATTATAGGATATGTGCCAAATATGAAAAAGATGCATATAATGTGTACTTTGTAGAAACTTGTTTATAGTTAAGGAAATGTTCGGTTTGATTCAACAAATACGCATTGACCATTTGCGTCTCCAGAGCAAAAGCGTGTGCTGTGGCTGCCGCCCTTTGATCCCGTTAAACAGACTGGTCCTTCTCCAGGCTCTTTTTTCCTCTTTTCTCTATTCTGCAATAGGAGAGAGCAAAAGATTAAAAAAAAAAAAAAAAAAAAAAAGGATATGTGAGAGGCAAAAGCCATTCTGTGTCCTGGTTGAATTGTTCGGTGTGGGTTAACATCTCCCAGAGTGTGTGCTGAAGATCATCAATAACTTGAAAGATAGCCACAAACAGGTTGTTCTGCCAAAACCAGGGCAAAGGGAGACTTCTGTGGGAAACCGTGGGTTAAAGAAAATTAAGCAGATTACTACTGCCAGCCTTCACAAAAATCTTTCAAATTCTACTGTGCAGTGTGGGAAACAGAGTCTATGCATTGTTACCTAAAACTTATTTGATCATGAAATACTTCTTCCTCTGAAAAGACACTCATCTGTCAAGGGGAATGCTGGCATGGGCCCTGAGAGCAGGTAGCAAAGCGACACTTCTCCTGAGAAGTATGAGTGACACCAGAGCAAATAGAAACCAGCCTTCATGAAATGAGCCTCTTAAGAGTACTTCCATTTTCAGGCATACCTTTTTATTTGGGTTAGGAGAGAAGAACCAGTAATCCATTTAATGATTTTCCCTTTGGAATTTCTAAGAAGCCCTTTCATGGGGAGAAAATAAAAACAAAGGAAGCTTTAGGAATTATTCTCTGTCAGCTGCTTATGCATCAGCTGCTTGTGAATTGGGTGTAGAGCTTTAGAGAGGACTGTCATTGACTAGCCTTCACTGTTATTATGGCCCACATGACTTCTGAAAACTGTCATTTTATTTTTAGTGACATTTTGATGACAGAACTACTCTTCTCTCTTTCTTTTTTTAATTCTCCATTTGGCTACACAATCTCTGGTCTCTTTCGCCACCACCGTGCTGTTTCTTTGCCCACTTTATTCCTCCTGCTCAGAATGCCCTTTTCTGTTCTATATGCGTATCTAAATTCTGTCCTTCCCACTTCGGTTTATGGAGCAGTAATTTCTCTCTTCTTTCCATACCAAAGCATTTTTCCTATAGCCTTGCTTAACAGTACCTCTAATACCATGCCAGATGGGGCAGTTAATTGACCTTGGTCCCCTGCTGGTGGGGGAGCACCAGAAGACAGCTAGCCATGTCATAGACATCTCTGGATCCTCTGCCTGGCCTCATCTAGTGGTTGTACAGAGTTAGCTATCCAGTGGGTGTTGATTGATGAGCGACGAGGTAATTATTTGTAGTGTCCTACTTCCTCTTGGTTACTGGTTGTATATTGCTAAAGGAAATATGATAGGAAAATAGAAGTGGCAGAAAGTTCTTCAGGGCATCCCTTATAAATGTTATGAAACAGGAAAACCTTTTTTGAAGCAAGTGTTCAATTCAGACTGTCCTCCAGTTGCTCTGGAAGGGCGGATGACTGTGGCCCTTCTGTACAGAGGAAGACACCTTCCTATGAGGTGCTTGAAAGTACCAGTATCCAGCTGCTCTGTTTCCTTGGCCATTGTCTCTCGAAGGCTCCCAGAGTCATCTCTATTGAATTCAAACATTTCTCAGTGTTCTTGTCAAAACTCTGTCCAAGTTTTCTATACCTCACAATTTTGTAGTTCTCCAAATTGGATGGAATTGTTAATTAAGGGTCAGGCCAGTAAATACTAAATATAGTAGGACAATTACTCTTGAATGTTAACATATGTTGAGGCTGTAAATTACAAACATCCTGCTTTCAGGTGGCTGTTACTGCTCTGACCACATCTCACCACCAGTGTCCCTTCAGTCACAGTTCTGAAAGCGACCAAAGAAAGGCAAAAAGCAAGTTAGAAATTGGGAAAATCTATACACAGAGATACAACGGAAAGAAAGTTGATCTTCAGAGAGGATTTGCTCAGGGTTGCTGACCCCAAGGACAGCCTTCAGGGCATCAGTGACCCGTCACTTCCCACTACCTACATTTCCCTACCCTGCCTTGTTAGGCCACCTGAGATTCTAGTGATTAGAGGAGTATAACCATTCCTTTTTTTGTCCCAAAGCTTCCATTTCAGTCCTCTAACCCTATATGTATTACTGCATTCTTAGTAAATGTTCAAGGTTATTTTGATACCCAAGGAAGTATCATTTGATACCCAAGGAACTATGATTACTGTGTACTGAAAAAGGAAGCCTGCTAGACCAGCAGTTCACTTTCTCAGCTGTACCAGCAGCAGGAGCTACTCACTATGTGGCCATGTAACCAGATTCTGGGAACTTGGAGAGGGTCGAGGCAGCCTTGCAGTCACCTCTCTTTTCCTCAGCCCAGACTCCCCACAGCCCACCCCACCACCTTACACATGCTTATCTGGCCACTCCATTGCCATCCTTCCATCAGATGGTGCACACTATTAGGGACATCACTGCCTTGTATAAAACCTGGTGGGGGGGGGGGCAGTGTTCACATAGCAATAGATTAATACAGTCCTTAGTAATTGTCTAGCACATGTGGTAGGGACATGTGGTAGGGACTCAGTAAAATTCTGGAGCCATCGTGTGCTGGGTCCGGTATTCTCTGAGATAAGTCTCAGTTATGAAGTGTGCAAGACATGCATTGGCCCAGAGCTGGTGACTTCTCTACTCCACTTAGCCAGAGAAGGAGCCACATAATGGAACATTCCTTGTACTGTCTCAGAGGAAGAGCTTAAAGTCCACCAACCAGCAGGAAGCTCAGGCCTTTTTGCCTCTTCCAGTGATTCTTCTTCAAACTTCAGCCTTGCAACCATTGCTTCAAATTCTTGCAGATAACAGGGGCACTCGAGGGACTCAGTCAGTTAAGTGTCTGCCTTTGGCTCGGGTCACCATCTCTAGGTCCTGGGATCGGGTCCTGGGATGGAGCCCCGCATTGGTCTCCCTGCTCAATGGGGAATCTGTTTCTCCCTCTGCCCCTCCCCACCCCCACTCATGTGTGCGCACGCGCCTTTGCTCTCACTCTCTCACTCTCTCTCAAATAAATAACTAAAATCTTTTTTTTTTTTAATTCTTGAAGATAGCAGAAGTGTTGCTCAGATGGAGGGAAGGAGAGAGTTGAGGCTTTCCCTGCTTGGTTGTTTTACCTCCCTTCATGGAGGTCTTCAGGGTCACTTTCTACAGAGTGGAACCATCAGATAACCAGTTTACCATGCTGGGCATTTCATGTGCTTTTATTGTGCTTATTAATTATTACATCTTGTTTTCAAAATAACTCTTTTTGCACCAAAACGTGTGATGAAGTTGTTTTTACAAATCCCTGGAAGTTTTGCCCTTTCCTTTAACAGTTGGTAACCACTCTTTTTGGAAAAGCATTAACGTGCATAACCACTGTAGTCAACTTCAGGGCTCATTAATGAAGCCCAGAACTAATAGTTACATTGTCGTAATTTGACAAAGCCATCTAAATCTATGCATGTTTTTTGAAAGCTCCCTAAACATGCTGCTAAATCCCCTAAAAAGCTACTAAACTGCTTTGGCAGCCATTAGCCCAGCATAAGCAGAGGATCTCTTTTCAGTAAGTGAACAAACAGAGAAAATATGCTGAATGGCTGGACAAATGTGTTTCAGCTGGCCCTTTCATTTACCGATATAAAGGTGCAGTCAGTATCAATCACTGTTTTCCCTGTTGCCCTGAAAATCACAATATCTCTTTTCATCCCACAAGCTCTTTTCACCACAGTAATGTGTCTTTAGAATGACACTGGCATCAGCCTGCTTCCGCTGTCTGAAGTCCAGAGAGCTTAAAAACACATTTCAGGATTCAAGACTTGAACCTTCCTCCCCTTCCGCTTTCCTACCGCCCACTCTGTCCTCCCTCACTCTGCATACACTCCACCCCCTCCCCAGATTCTTTTTAATTCTTCCAGCTTTCCTCACTGAGTAAACAAAATTCACTTCTCTGTTCTAATGCAGCTCTCCAAAGTAAACGCAGACAACTTCTCTCCGATATTCCCAAGATCTAAGAACTCCGTTCAAGGGATGCACATAAAGAAATGCTTTTACATGTGGGCAAAACCTCAGAGGTCAAAAGGAATGTAGAAATTCTATGCCCTGACAAGTGTGCTGATGAGCAGGACCTTGCTGCATATCAGGGTATCTCCTTCCTCTGCCCTCACCCCCTTATCTCTTGGTTCCCACCTGCCCCCGGCACATACACACTCACCTTTTGTCACCTTGTAGCAGAAATATGTGCCTGCACGTGTGTTCCACCTTTACCACTGCGAGCTTCTTGAGAACAAATGCCGTGTCTTAAATCTCTGCTAGCCCCTCCTGATTCTGAATACTTAATACGTTGTTTTGGAATGAAGGCGATTACTTTTTATCCTTCTGAAAAACGAAGCGGAATAAGCGTGAAGATCCATGTTAGCGATGTGCTTCTGGTTGTAGCAGTTACCACAGAGGAATATTTGAAATACTACGTTTCTAAAAAAAACAGTACTGATTGTTTTTTCTCTCTCTTTTTTTCTTTTTTCTTTTTTTGTATGTTTGTTTTTATTTCTTTGTTTTGCTTCAGGTTATAGCTGTCTGTAGGGAGGCAGCCCTTCTAGCTCTGGAAGAAGACATTCAAGCTAACTGCATTACGAGAAGACATTTTACTCAAGCCTTGAGCACTGTGACACCGAGAATTCCTAAATCACTGAGACGTTTCTATGAGGAGTATCAAGAGAAGAGTGGGCTACATTCACTCTGACGAAGGATACATATTCAGTGTGCTAAAAATGCTTTCTAGACAAAACTTGTTTCTCTTTTAAAAATTTGTCTTGGGCACCTGGGTCACTCAGTCTGTTAAGCATCTGCCTTCGGCTCAGTTCCTGAATCCTGGGTCCTGGGATCAGAGTCCAACACTGGGCTTTCTCTCTCTCTCTTTCTCTTTCTCTGTCTCTCTCATGAGTAAATAAATAAAATTTTGTAAAAAAATTTGTCTTGAGAGTGTCCAAAAAAATCCTTCATAAGCAAAGTGTCTGAAATATGTTGACTGGAATTGAGAGGCTTCAGTGTTTAAAGACATTTTAAATGAAATGGATACAGTAAAACTATCCATAAAAATCTCTGGACACAAGTTTTATCTGGAAATTGTGCTGATATTTAAAAAGCAAACTTTAGCTTTTTCGTTTTTGACCTAGTTTATTCCTCCCATGAAATGCTTTCCTAACTCCAGAATCTGTTTCAGTCTATTCCTGAATGGCCAGCCTGTGAACATCAGTTTTATACAAGAAATACAAGATACTTGTTGATTAGTCCATAGTGAGAAAGATTTACAGATCTTTATTTTTAAAGGCCAGCCAGTGAAATAGCCAAATGCACCAGCCAGGTTTATATGGTCTTGTTTCCAGGTATGTTTTTGTTCTTATTATAATTTACACCTACATTTTTGCTTTGGCCTTCTTAATCTGTACTAATGGCAATTAAAAAAAATTAAGAGTTATTTCATGTAATGCTCTTTGCAAATTTAAAAAAATAGGAATTATAAGCCCAGTCCAGGCCTAGAGCAATAGACCTGTTTTGTTTCATACAACACTATAGATAAATTGTATGTTCATGTGTTAATTTGCACCCATTTTCAGGTTACCAATAAATTTTTTCAGTTCAAAGATAAACGAAATTGTACTCTTAACCATATTGTCTTATGCTGCATTTGAAATATGTATATTTGTGCTGCTAATTACTTATCTTCAGAATTTCTTGACACTTTAATATTCCATAAATATCTTTGAAAAACTGTCAGAAATTGACTCCCTGACTTCCAGTTGAGAAAGTGGCAGTGGAAAGAATGTGCACTGAGACATGATCACTGTAGATCTTTGAAAATTTCCAGAAAGACAAGCCAGGCGAGAAATACCTGATTATCACAATAATGGGACTATACAGTTTTGTATTCTGAAGTCACCTCTCAAATATCTTATCCTTTGACTATCAAAAATAGACTTGCAAGGCATTTTTTCCCCAAACTACATTGCTTTATTAGTATATACATAAAACCACCCACGGGACAAAGAATATGACTACTACTTAGAGCTCTACTGTCTAATATAATAGCTACTAGCCATATACAGCTATTTAAGTTTAAATTTTAATGAATTAAAATTAAATAATATTAAAAATTGAGTTCACTGGACACATTAGCTGCATTTCAAGTGTCCAGTAGCCACCTGTGACAAGTGTCTGCCATGTGGATATAATAGATTGTAGAATACATCTATCACTAGAACATTCTGTTGGTTTCTGCTGATTTAGAATATAAGGCTTACATGATGAAGTAGGACCTCAAAATTACTATTATGCTTCCCATTTTCCCTTTGGTTATTAGAGGACCATCCTTCTCTATAAGTTCTGAGGGCACAGAAAATAAAGAGAAAAACCTTATCCCCAAAGGCCTAAACAGAAAAAAAAAAATTAAATTCGCACTGCCAATAAAATAAAAACCAGAACAGTAAGCCTGAACTGGCATAGGTTCTCAGGCTGGAGACTGGGCAGTGGGGAGGAAGGGGGGCAATCTCAATCAATGAGGAGCTCAGCTATTAGTGACTGCTCAGACACCTCAGCCCATGTGACATAGAAGTCATAACCGGGCCTCATATATAATGTCCAGATCATTAAAGACCAACACCTGCAGCGTAAGGGCAAATTAGAAAAGACTTCCTCCTGCTGACTGGAGAGATCATGAGGAGCCTCTCCAGACTTGGTCTGTGCTTTGGATTTGAAAAGAAAAGAAGCAGCTCCTCAGAATTCTGACTCTGAGCTTACCTGACCACGGCTTCTGGGTTCAAATTCACACCACCTTTGAGATTTAGACGCTTGAAACCTTTCAACATGAAAATATGGATCCACACTAGAAATATCCTTGGGATGACCAGCACTTCCAGTTGTTGGAGGAATACAGCCTCACCCAGGCCATGGAGGATTCCAACAACTAAAACACTGCTTACAGAGTTTATAATCCCGAAGGGTGTGCGCAGTCTGCTGGTGGGGCGTAAATTGGGACAGCTACTTCAGAGAGCAACTAACATATCTAGGAATGCTGAAGACCCTATAATCTCAGAGTTCTCTTCAGTGTATGTCTCAGAGCAAATTGTTTTCAATGAGTAATGATTAAGAAAATCAGAGCCCTAGTATTTGTAAATAGTAAGAAACTGGAAACAATGTATCCGTCAGAGAATGGATTTCTATGGGATACCCATACAATGCAATATTTACAGCAGTAAAATTGTAATTGGAGCTACATGGAAAAGAGGAATTAAAAAAAAAAAACATTTCAGAAGAATACTTTTATTCATTTAAATTTTAAGACATGCAAGATAATATATGTTGTTTATGAGAACGCGGTTAGTAGAGAACTACATGAAGGGAAATGAAAAGCATTAAATACCAAGAGAATTTCCTCTGGGGAGAAAAGCTGAAATGTCCTATCTTAAATGGGAAATGTGAATACAGGTGTTGATTGTAATCCAATCTTTACTTTTTATGCCTAAGTATGTCATAATAATGTTTAAAAGATCAGCCTTAAATTGACACGTTATGGGGCAAAGGGCAAAATGCATCCCCAGCCCTGTTCTGCGTTCCTAACCAGCATCACAATCCTGTCCTTCCACCCAGTCCATGGACCTCCAGTGCAAACCACAATGCCTACCACCCCGTGTTTCTAGGAAATCAGAAGTACTGGGATGATGGAATAAAACGCAAGAAGGAAAAAAAAAAAAAATTGGGCTTTTAGGATCCAGGAAACAAGAAATGTGTCGGTGAGAATTAGTGGTTAGGTGATCCTTGTTTGATGACCGAGGGTGGGAGAAATTAAATCTAGAGTGAGACTTCTGTTTCCATGGTACTGTGGTTGTGCAAGGAGCAGGAAGTCAAGAATTTAAAAAGATTTTAGAGCATTACATCTTTAATCTATTACAAACCAATTATTTTTTATATCTTTAGGTAGCTAATTATTACCATTGAAAAGGCAATGATTGTTCTTTATTTGAAGTTTGTGCCCTTTTTATAACAGTACCAGTAAAAATCTGAGTCATAGAAAAGAACAGGTTGGTCACTAATAACAGTTTACCCCAGCTTCATCTGCGTGAGGGCTTTACTTCTGATGCCCAAATCTCCTATGTGTGGATTTAAAATCGTGTATGATCCTATTATTTGAGTTTGTTTGTGATTGAATTACACAGTATAGTTCATGGAAAATTTAAGTGCAGCAAGAAAAGAAAATGTTCAGCTTCCTGTCTTCAGAAAACAATTTGCTTTTTGGCATCTGGTCAAGTGTTTGTCGTTGGTCCAGATTCTCTTCAGGGTTTCAGGATACTCACAGTGACACTTACTTTTTCCCCCAGTGTTCCAAAAGGTTTTCATTTCAATAGTGAAATTAGTGTTTCTTTCTAACAACAAAATTTAGAGGAATGGCTTCTAACTTTTTACTCCTTTATGACTAAGAAAGTGTATTTATAAGCTTGATTCTGACTGCCCTAACATTGCTTGAGAAGTATTTAGTTCTGTGTTATTTCTAATGTATAAAACAGGTTTTTAAAATAATGTATGGGTTTTCTACTTTGGAAAAATAATTATTGAATTTATAGAAAAACCAAATTTAAGTGTATGTTTAATTTATCTTAATTAGGAGAAGGCTACAGAAAAGTTGCTAGAATAGAATGAAGTTATTTCCCTGGCCTGTTGTTACTGAAATTTCTGAATGAGGTTGTTAAGAGTTTTAGTTCGTTTTGTCATGTTTCTCTGAGTCCTAACGTTAAAGATGAGCATACACCAAAGCACACTTTGAAATTATATATGGGTTGAATTAGCAGTATTTTTTCAAATATGGTCCACATAGAAATTCTAATGCTCCAAATTGATTTACTTTCCTTCCTTCAGTTTTCATTTTAACAGTTGTATGCACAGAAAAGCTTTTTACCTAATGTTTATGTCAAATATACCCCAGTAGCCTGTATCTTTTAGGACTCACTTTTGGGGAAAAGAATTCATTCTAGCAAATTAAGGCAGAAAGAGATGTTACAAGGTTTTAAGTTGGTTACAAAATTATTGAGAAATTTGTAGACTCCTCTTTCAGGACCTAGTGATAAACATTTCTGGAAAGATGGTTAAAATGACACACTTAACATACCACATGCAACAAAACCCAAAGAAATGAAAAGAAAGAAAAATAGAGTTCATCTATGCTGAAATCAGGGAACAGATTAAACCCCAGGTAAAGTATTTCAAAGGCTATCTGTCAAATACAACATATTTAGAACCAACTTAGAAAGTTGGTTAATTCCATGAATTCCAGGAATTTCAACATCTACTCTGCTTCAGAACACATATGATGTGATCAATTATCAGACTATAAAAACACCTTTTTTGGAAAAAAATAAATTACTGTGATTTTAATATTAATATTGTGATAACATCCAGGTAAGCATCCAACTTTTGGTTTCAGCTCATGTCATGACCTCAGGGTCCTGGGATCGAGTGTAGTAACAGACTCCCCACTCAGAGGGAGTCTGCTTAAGGATTCTCTCTCTCCCTATCACCCTCTCCCTCTCCCCCTATCCCAAATAAATCTTTCTAAATATCCCAAAAATATTCATATTAAAATCAGTCAAATGCAGTTAAGTGAAATGGGAACTGACATGTAATAATATGTTCATATGTTTGTCATAAACCCACAGCAATTAAATTACTGTTTACACCAACATAATCATAAACAATAATAAAAATGTCAACAGGTGAAAAGGAGAGTCAAGGACATGGAGAACAGATTATTTGGGGCCAGGAATAATCACAGATTGAGATATCCCAAGGGAAATAACAACAGGGGAACTATGCCAAAAATCTGGGGAGAAAGTTTGG